GTTTTGCCAACTCTCCTGTTCATCTGTCTCGAAACATATACAACACTCCTGCTCAATTCATTTTCATAAAGGTGATGGATAAAATAGTTCAGCTCCATTTGCTTGATACATTCAGAGGTTACTGAGATGATTAGGCAAAGCCTTCCTCTGTATCTCCCCCTCTAAGATCCTCTCTCATCTCCTCTACTGGCCCTCCTTATGCACAGACGCTCCTCCAGGCACAGCTGGATAGTGTCCGATGCTTTTTATAATCCATTTAAGTCTGAGTATCTCTACATTGTATTCCTCATCCAGAAAAAGTGATACGCAAATCAAGCCCCTTGGCATTTGATCTGCATCTACAGGGTCGCAACTAAAGCCAAGGCAGAAACCCCATCATCCTGGCTGCAATGCTTTGTGTGACAGTATTAATATAACACTGATGAAACAGTATATAGGTTTAGACAAAAAGAGAGTAAGGAGGAATGGAAGCAAACACTCTGATTTAAAATCCCAGATTTTCAGATTTTCAGGCACCATAGACGACTTTGGTTGCATATTTATTTCAAAGCCTTGTTTTATCATTCTGTTGCATGAGCAACAACCCTCATTTTATTTAATAATCAGTCTCTGGGTATAAAATGTGAATTGAGTGAGCCTTTTAGTATTTTAGACAGAGACTATACAAATATTACAGCAACAGTAAAAACCTCGTACAACAAGAGAAAAAACATCATAAAAGGAAGTTCACACAGGAATACGAAAGTGATATGCTAAGAGGTTTCGGGCAGATTAAAAAAAAAACTGCACTATGACTCAGAACTTCAAGTAAAACAGCAATGGAGTAACACCGAAAGAGTTAACTAGAAGTTAAATGACTAAGCTCTACAACAAACATCTCTCTGCACTCATCAGCACTGTGTGAGAACCTGAGGGCTAAAAACAAAAAATACATTGTTTTTAATAAACACTCTTGGGAGCAGCAGAGGAAAAGTCCTGAGCTCTTTTATCTCTTCTGATTCTTGACATTAACAAGCAGCACCTGCCCAGAGTCACTTGATGTGCATATACACGCTGCACTTCAAAGTAATATGAAATGCCTCGCTCAAACAGCTACGGCATTAAAAATAAAAAACGGAAATCAGGTCATCATTTGACATCAGCAAGGATGAACAAAACAATAATTCATCTCTTCCTGCAGGGGCTGAGGATTTATGTGTCCTCACAGAGCAGGTGGAGAGATAGGTCAAACGTTCCCCCCAGTGTAATTTTCTCCAATCTCTACAGCCTTCACCGTTTTACATGTGTGCGTGTCCACCAACATGACTGTGTGTTTGTGTTAAGCATATATGTCTCTATGTGTGCCGTGCATACACTCATGCATCTATATGAATTATTATATAGTCTGCTTTTCACTGTCTAGTGAGAAGGAAACACTTAAATTTAGCTTACACATTTTCCCATAATAATAATCTCATCTTTTCTCAGCTGAGATAAACATTTCTGCACTAATTACAAGCTCATGTGACATACTTACAGATCCTCGCTACGTACTGTATCTGCTGAGAGTCTACTTTCGAAATGTTCTAAATTATAAATGCTGCTTGATGCAGAAAAATAAATGACCCAGAATTTTATCATTTAAGATATACATTCATATATAAAGGCTACAGTGCTAGTTCCTCAATGTTATCAAGAGTTTTTCACAAGGCTCTTATTGGAAGGAAACTCTTTATGTTAATAATATAGCGCTGAAGCAATTAAAAGATTAGACAATCAGCTGAAAATGAACCATCAGCAATTTTTACAATTGAGTCATTTATCATGTAACCAAATATTCTGTGGTTCTGGCATCTCTACTGTGCAGTATTACATGGCTGTTAATGAGATATCTTTGGGGTTACACTGTTGGTTAGAAAAAAACAAGACATTTTAAGAGCTTACGCGGGCCTCTTGGAAATTGTGACCAACTTTTTTCATAATCTTCAGACATTTTATGCAGCAGAGACAACCAGCAGATCAAACAACTACAGAAAATCATTTTCAGCTCTACTTTAAATTGACATTCCAGTGATTTTGTACTTTAATAAAGTTGGGTGGGGGGCTCTAAAAGACAGGTTTGGGTAATATTAAGATAGTCAAGCTCCAGAAATGTTGGATCCTACGTTTCCCATAATACAACTTGATAATTAAACATCCCTGCCTAGCAAATATCAAACTCACACCTCCTGCTTGTAAAGGACCACAGAGAACATTGTAGCTGCTGCCACATGCTGAGTAGTACACCTCATGAGAAGTAAATTCATCTTCATATGTAAAATTAGCAGAGTACCCCCTTTTTTGCAATAACCTTTCACCCTACATGTGCATATTTTCTAGGTGGTGCAGCAGATTGACCATCTAACCTTGTCTATTGACTTGAATGAAGAGCCTGGAGGAGATGATGGCACCAAGCCTCCCAGTGACAGCAGCTCCAGTTCAGGTTCCAGCTCCAGTGAGGTGATGGTGGGCAGCACCCATCAGAGGCCCTCAGAGCTTGAGGATCATCCAGGAACCACAGATTCAACTGGCAGCATCAGGAAATATCATCCTAGCAGGAGCCAATCCCCACCAAGTGGGCAGCTACACCCAGTGACCTCGGGGTTGTCTTCAGAGAGGATTCAAACACTTCAGTTCACCTGCAATCACGGGTCTTCTCCCACACAAGAGGGGCAGCTGCCGTACAATAATGTCCCTTCATCTAATCCACAACAAACCCTCACCTCCCATGAATGTACTTTGTCTCTCCGCAGGAACCTGCCTGTTCCGCCTCCCACGCCTGGGCTCTCCCCTCTAACAGTAAACCTCCATCCCCCCAGTAGCCCTGGTTCTCAGCTTCACTCCCCTGCATCGTCATCCTTCATCAAGGTTAACGCTGTCCTCCCTCCCTCCCTTCTGTCTCCAGACCCTCACCCACCCCTTGCCCTTAGCCCTTCTGTCATCATAGAGACCAAAGTTGGGTCTTATCAGACCCCACAAAGCGACCACCCATCTGCTAACCTGCTCTCTGCTTCATCAACCCAGCCTCTGTCCACCAGCTGCCCACCCCCCGATTCAGAAACTCAAACTGTGTCCAGTGATGACAGAGGGAGACAGGCATCTTCAGCAGGGTCTGTTCACAGACCTCCACAGGTGTGCACTGTCACTGCAGCCACTGCTAAACCACAAGGCCGCAGAGGACGCAAACCTCCACCTTACCCGCACCACAAGCTCTCTGAACATACAAAGAAAGGGAAGGAGCCCCGCAAAGCTCCTCCTTACCCGGAGAAAAGAAGGCTGCTCTCAACCACAGTGTGAGACAATGCAGCAGGAGGGGGAGGCTGATTGAACAGAGCCATATTCACAGCACCAGCCACGAGTCTGCAAGAGTGGAGAGCGATTCAAGGTTTGCCAAGTTGAGCTGAAACCAAGTTTCCAAGGTGACAGGACATAGACGCAATTTGGGGTGAGTATGTCAGGAAGAACAGCTTGGCTCCTTTAACGTCCTTTTCCCTCTCTCCTTCTAGACAAATCTCCTGAGTAAATACACTGAACTTGCACAAGGCCACTCAACATCTGCCTGGGTTACTGCTGTGGTAACTAGAGCCTCTATACAGATGCTCACTTTGCACCACAGCTATCAGACTCCTACAGATTACACATTTAAAAGAAGAAGAAGGTCCAATTTGACAGAAATATCTGTAGTTCTTACAAGGTGACAAGACAAAGTAAGAACTGATTGCTTTGGTGCACTTCAAGCCACGCACACATCCACTCAAATGCCACAGTTCAGTCTGAGTTAAGATGATTGCTGTGTGTCAGGAGCCATAACGGTATATTATGAACATAGTGCAGCTGAGACTACTTTGACTCAGCAGTGTGAAAAGCATATGCGAGGGAAGCAAGGCCAGAGATCTCTGATAAATCCAGTCAAAGAAAGGGTCTCATGTTATGGGAAACTTAACAAGGCCAGATAAGAACTGAACAGGCCAAGTGTGCTGAATGGGGAGAAGGGGGCAGCTGGCCATTTGTCGTACCCTTCACCCGGGCCTACAAAAATCCCATCTCCTTTGCTGCCTGTGGCTTGACCGACCTGGCCACAATCTCCATCTGTTCCCCTCCAAATGTCAGGAGATGCAAAAAGAGAGAAATAAGGGGCAAGTGCCTATGAGGAAGGGAGCAGAGAAAAACAATAAACTGACACTGGAATGCCAGCCAGACTAACTAAATAAATACAGTACAGTAAACTGACGACAGTAACAACATTAATTAATATGCTGATGTTAAGCAAGTATTACATTTACCATGTTTGCCAACTTTGTTTAGCTTTTTTTACCATGCTAATATTTGCTACTTAGCAATAAACACAAAGTACAGCCAGGGGGGAATCCAAATAATTTTGGATGTGGTGGCCAGGCTGGGGCACAGACTTAGAGAGGGTGGCACATTAGAGATACATGTGAAAAATAAATGAAACCCCTATTTCTATGAAATGATAACCCATTACACCCCTCCACCCCTGCTGAGGCAAGTCATAACAACTACTGCACACCACAGCTGAGAAATGAATGCAAATATTATGCTGCATGCATGATATATATTAAAACGAATTTGGCCAGTATCCGTTTTAAAGCACCAGAAAAAATGTTTTATTAGGTGAACAATTTCTGATTGTTTTCATTCATTTAGTATACTAACAAGCATCTCATTTTGACTCTAGTAAGGGTGGCCAATGAGATTCTGGGGGTGGCAGGTGCCACCTCTGGACATCCTCTGGATCCTTAAATAGAGCTGGGTAGTGGGAATGTCTTTAGTTTAGCAGGTATTCTTTGAAAAACAAAGTAGCTTGTTTTCTAATGATGAGGGATCACAAGATAAATGTAACCATTGCGGTGTCAGAAGAAGAGGAATAGTAGGGA